GTTTTTCTCTTATTTCTTTGTCTTATAGTTTCTTTTGGGACCTTTTTCACTTGATTTTGCCCGGAGTGCAAAAGCTAAGTGTGGGGGAATTGATAGAACACATTTGTTACCCACTTTTATTTGTCAATTAGGACCATTTTATTAATGATTTATCACCTTCAAGTGCACACATTGCATTAGATTTGGAACTTTGCCTAAGTTTCTAAGTTCAGTGCACTAGGGGCATTTTGGTCCAAAAAATGAACTTTTGAGAAAATGTACAAGAAAAATTGACAAAGTGCATTTTATGTCCAGTTGATGAATGGTGAAATTATATTTTTAAAATTCATTTTAGTTTGGGAGTAATTAAATAAAAAAGTCAACACTTTCTTAAGTGTCTTAGTTTGTCCTAGTTTTTGGTTTGCCTTTGTGTGAAAATTTTTATATAATTTTGTGCAGCCTGAAACTTGGTTAATTTAATAAATTCTCCCTTCTAATTCTGGACATGAATTAGATTTTATTATATCATATGCTATTTAATTGAATTATGTGATTTATGTGACATAGGTGGCATGTGACTTGTGCATCAATTGGGCAATTGAGGTCAACACTCCTTGAGGTCAATGGCTGATGGTTTGCACGTGAATTATGATTATTTTGAGGGATTAATCAGCTAAAATGATGTGGATGACACATGGGAAATTAGGCACACATTGGAATCATCTACAAACCAATAGGAAGTTGCCACCTTGCAAGTGTGACAAGGCTCCCATTTACATTTTAATTTCTTTTTCCTTATTTTAATTAAGCTTCAGCTGATGGGAGACACCAAGGAGCACGCCATTTTAAGTCCCAAATGGGATCCAACACATATCTCATTCATCTTCCACATTCTCTCTCTCTTGTTCATAGTGTTCTTCATTTTCTCTCTTTTGTTCTTCATTTTCCAGCACCCTAACCTCCATTTTCAGCCACCAAACCTCCACAAAACTCATACCATTCTTCTCCTCTCTTCATTTTCGTTCCATCCCTTCCATTTTCACAAGGATTGAAGCTCATTTCCATCATTCAAGAGCTATGGAGTTTGGCCTTCACAAGCAATCACTAGGGTTCTTGAAGATGAAGATTGGCTAAGTTTCTTTGTGGAATCCTAGAGAGATGAAGATGGAGGATGAGTCTTGAGCTTCAAATTGGCTAAGTTCTTTTGTTTCCTATCCTCTTCTCTTTTTACTAGATGGTTAGATTCCTTAATCTAGGGTTTAATCATCTTAGCTTATAAATTCTAATTTGAATTTGATGTTGATGTAAAGAGAGAGGATTGTTTCATTTAATTTCTTCCTTGGACAGCCATGACTGAATTTTGCCACTCTTTGTTTGGCACATAATCTTGTGTTTTTCAATTAGTGAATTTCTTGTGTTAATATTGCATAATCTTGTGGTGTTAATGCTTGTGTTGTTGAGTAGCTTGACATAATCTTGTGGTTGCTCAATTTATGTGTTTGACCATGGCTGTTGAGAGAGGATTTTGAGTGAATCACTTGGCTAATGTCTTCACCAATTGGTTAATTGAACTAGGGACTTTAATCTAAGACCTAGGGAGGTTAGCTAATTAGGTTAATTGGCTTAGGATAATTTTCTTAAGTCATGACAGCTTTAGTCAAGAGGAAAGGGAAGCTAAACTTAGCCTAATCATGAGAAGATAATGAGTCCAAAATCAACTAATCTCTAGGGTTCCATTATTGTAAAAAGGAAGTTCATTTCACTCACTTTCACTAGCATTTTAATTACTTGCACATTAGGTAATTAGTTTAGATAATTAGCTAGTAACTAAATTCCTACAAACTTTGGTTGATTTATTTCACTAGATAACTTTCAATTAGACTTAAAACCATTCCTTGGGAGATGACCTAGGGTTGGCCCTATATTGCATTAGGGTTAGCTTTAGTGTAATTTTGAGGATAAGCGACTAATTTCCTATCACCTCTCTCTATAAAATCCTCAAACACATCCAAAACTATAAAAACACCTTCCTTTGAGGAATTGTTTGAGGATTAAATTGATATGAGTCTTGCCAAACTTGTTTGTAACTCACCCAAACTGTTGGAGAGCCTCCATACCTACATTAGCCCATTATGCCCATGCTGCCTCTCCTGCCATTTCTTTGCATAGTTAGTAACAAAAACTTTTAAAGGAAGAAATCTATACCCAATACAGACAAGCCTTCTCTTTGCCAAACTATTGAGGAACCCATTATTAAGAATTTTGAGGATTAAGGACCTAAAGATCAACCTCAATACCATCAAGTTCCTATTCTTCCAAAAGGGCAAGTTGAGAATGCTGCTCAAGATCTTCTCCATCTCTTCCTTGAGCTACTGATGGCTCAAATGAAGTATTAGATCATATTCTACCTATGGATCTAAACGATTCTTCTCCATCTCTTCATTAGTCTAAGGTGAGCCTATGGTTTCATGTCGAGGTGATATGGAGGTTCGATTGGTAGTGATCATGCTAGCATACTATGTGATATGGTGAGATATGCTTTGAGATGACATGAAATCCTATGTGATTGATGAAAATTTGAGAATGAAATGAGATACATGATATATTATGAGGTTTTAATAATATATTGTGTTTACTTACATACTGTTATATGAGATAGTCAATAGGAGTGAGTTATTTGTTACTGAGATTTTATCTCACCCCCGTGGCTATATATTTATAGGACCGAGTAGTGATCAAGGCAAGGGAAGAGATTTTGGACTGACTTGAGTTGTGAAGTCATGTACTTTAAATTTATGTAATGAACTAAACTGCGATGTATGTATTAGTGTAAATGAGTTGCCGGAGGGTTGCATGCATGATTTGAATAGGGATTTTGTGAAATCTAGCTTGATTATGTGTTTATGTGTTGATTGAAATAAGGGGCTATGATTTGAGAATACTGTGTCAAAATGAATGTGTGTTGGTGAATCTTAAGTCAAGGGACAAAGCATGATGAAATGAGTAATTTAGGCGCTAAAATTATATTGCGAACATGAATATATATGAATGTATTGAGAAATAGCCTAGTGGGCTAAGTTATGTTAAGAAATGACAAAGTGTGTAAAGTTAGTGAATTAGGGAAAACTGGCTGTAGAAGGCTCAAATTTGATATATAAGTATGATTGAGATATATTATTTTCAATCAGGTATATTAGATCCTTTTAGGCTTAGTTCAAGACCTAGTAAGGTCTAATGAGTGAAAATGATCAATTTGAGTACTTGGGTGAGCAAATTTTTCAAAAAAAGTGACTTTTTACACTCAAGTGTCCAAATTTTGATTGGACTATTATATCATATCCAAACCTAACTCATTAGTTAGCATACGAGCTAAGCTTCATGTAGGCACTTGAATCACTCCAATTCGATGTCATATGCGGAAATAGCACATGTCGGAAGTTCATCATTTTTGCTATCAAAATGACAGTAGAAATTGGACAGGCACGTCGCGGTGCATGATGTCACATGCCGCAGTGCATGACATAGAAAAAATTAAGCATGTGGCTCTGTCCCACATGCCACGGCGCATGTACTGCATGCCACAGCGTACAAACCAAATCTTGGCTTAATTTTGTGATGAAAATGCATGCATTGGAATGGGGTTATGTCCACTACTTTTTAGACTAATATGCATATTGCTTTCATTGTTTTTTTCTTTGATTGTATTGTGATTTTGGATGGATTTGTAAAATAAGTCTTGGGCCCAAGCTTTTCAAACAATATTTATTTACTGACTGTTGTGAGTCTTATGGTAACACCGTAATCTTCTCCTATATTGTGTGGATATATAGGGAAGGTTATGACATCTATCCTTCTCACTTTTATTTTCTCTAAAAAACTTTAGTGTCACACAATTCACCCCCTTCTTAGGTGCCAGTCTATCCAACATTTGGTATTAGGGCTTGGACTCTTGATCAAGGACGTAACAATCTAATAGGACCCTATGGCTAGTTTTGGTAATAGTGTACTTTCCAATGTGTTGAGATCAATAGGCCTCAAGGATTCAATAGTGAAAACTACACCTTCTGAAAGAGTAAAATGAGATTGTTCTTTGAGGCATAAGATCTTGACCTATGGGAGATTGTTAAAAATAGTCCTTATGTCCCTATGAAAATAGTATAAGGAAAACAAGTGAGAAAAGTAACGAGTGAATTCACTGAAAAGGAAAAGAAGTTGGTGCTACTAAACTCTAAGGAAAAACTAATCATAGCAAGTGCCTTGAGTCAACAAGAATACTTTCGTGTCAGCAATCTTGAAATAGCAAAAGAGATGTGAGATGCTCTTGAGGTAGCACATAAGGGCATAGAAGGAGTTAAAGAGTATAAACTTTTTAGGATGAAGCCTGGAAAAAGCATCAAGGAAATGCAAGTAAGATATATTCACAAGATGAACAAGCTTGCAGTTCTTGGAAAGACTTACACACAAAAGAAGAAAGTTAGAAAAATCATGAGAGGACTTCCTACTGAATGGAAACTAAAAATCACTACCATTAAGGAAGCAAAAAGTGATTCTATGAGATCAGTAGTAGTATTGTTTGGAAGTCTTGCTGAACATGAAGAAAGACTATCAATGTGATGGAGGATGTTGAGAGAAGAAAAAAATCACTAGCACTAAAAGTATCACAAGAAAATTTGACTCTAAAACTAGTGATAGTGAAGACTTTGATGAGAAAATGGCCTGTTTGTCAAGAAGTTTGGAAAATTCTTTGGGAAGAAGTTCAACAAGAAATTTTTAAAGAAGAAAAACAAGGAGATCATTTGCTTCAAGTACAAAAAAGTTAAGGCACATCAAAGTTGATTGTCTCTTAAAATAAGAGAGTAAAAGCTACAAGTATGATAAGAAGTTCAAAACATATCTCTCTTCAATATGGGATGACAATGATGAAGAATCCATAGAAGAAGAAGCAAATATTTGTCTAATGGCCAATAGTGACATAGATAAGGGAAATGATTCTAATTTAGACTCTGAATTTGATTTTACTTTTGAAGAATTGCACAATGAATCATTTCTGCTTATGAAAAATCATACTCAAACAAAAAAGAAGCTTGTTGTTTCAGAAAAGGAAAATGTGTCACTGAAAATTGAAAATAAGGTTTTGAAAAAGAAAGTAAATATTTTGGAAAATGAAACTCAGTATGTTGATTGCTTACTTTATATATTTGAAAAGGAAGATTTAGAAAATAATCTTGCAAAATTCATTAAATGTAGAGAAAATTTAAATAAGATTTTGATAAATGAAGATGTGTTTTTGATAAAGCTATATTATACTATAAACCTAAGCAAAAATAGAGTATTATAAGAACTTCCTTGTTCCTACAACTATGACTAACTCACCCAAGTCCACTTGTTCTTATTATAACAAGAAAGGAAACATGACTAAGTCATATATCCAAAGGAAGCAAGGATTGATGAAAATATGTAGTGGGTTGTAAAAGGGTCTATTAACTCATCAAGACCCAAATAGATTTGGGTACATAAGAAAACCTGACATTTGTGTAGGTAATGAGAAGAGTTACAAACAAAAAGTGGTATATAGACAGTGGCTACTTAAGCACATGACTAGTGATAGCTTCATGTTTCTATACATGATAGAAGCTAAAGATGGTAGGACTCTCACCTTTGGAAATAATAAAAAAGGCAAAAGTCTTGGTATAGGTAAGGTTGGTAAGAATTCTACCACCTCTCCATGCATTGATAACATTTATTTAGTTAATAGTTTGGGCCATAACCTTTCAAGTATAAGTCAATTATGTGACAAAGATTATAAGGTTATATTTAGTGCTATGTATTGCATTGTGAGAGATGAGCAAACAGGAAAAACCATTCTAGAAAGGAAGAATTTAGAATGTGTATTCAACTAACCTTTGTAATGATGATTCCTTGGATACAAAATTCTTAATCTCAATGAATAATGAAAGATGGCTGTAGCACAAAAGATTAGCTCATGTAAATATGAAGTAACTAGACAAGATTGTAAAGAAGGATCTTGTTATCGGGCTACCAAAGATTAAATTTGAAGCTAACAAGTTGTGTGATGTATGTATGGAGGGTAAGCAAGTCAAGACAACATTTCACAGCAGAAATGTGGTGTCCATCTCTAGATCTCTTGAGCTACTTTATATGGACTTAATTGGTTCTTCAAGGGTAAAAAGTCTAAGGGGTAATCTCTACACTTTTGTTACTGTTGATGATTATTCTAGGTTCACATGAACTATCTTCATGTCTCACAAGAATTAAACTTTTGACTATTTTATGGCATTTATACTAAACTTCAAAATGAAAAGAGTTTGAAAATTGAATTAAAAGTGACCATGGTAGAGAATTTGATAATTTAACTTCATTGAGTTTTGTGAAGAACAAGAAGTAATCTATGAATTCTCAACTCTTAGAACTACTCAACAAAATAAAGTGGTAAAGGGAAAGAATAGAACCTTGGAGGAGATGGTAAGAGTTGTGTTGAATGAAAAGAAGATGCAAAAATATTTCTAGGTAGATGTTATGAGCATAGCTTGCTACATCGCAAAGAGAGCATATATGCGATCCATCCTGAACAAAACACCTTATAAGCTTTACAAAGGAAGGAAGCCTAACATTTCTCATCTACATGTATTCGGTTGTAAGTGTTTTGTACTCAATAATGGTAAAGATAATATAGATAAGTTTGTCTTTAGAAGTGATGAAGCTATTTTTTAGGTTATTCTAATAGAAGCAAAGCTTTTAGAGTCTTTAATAAAAGAACCTTAACTGTTGAAGAGTCAATTCATGTCAAATTTAATGAATTCTTATCAGATGATAACAAAGAAGAAGAAACCATAAATCATCCTCTTGATAGTCTCTCAATGAATGAAAAGAAGGAAAATCAAACAAATAATGATATTATGATTAATGATCTTCCAAAATGTTGGAGATATGGTTAGTCATTTCTTATTGATCAAGTCATTGGAGAAGTTAGTGATAAAGTTAGAATTAGAGGTTTACTTACAAAAGTATATGCCATTTCAATGTATTTTTTTTCTAACATTGAACCTTCTGACATTAGAGAAGACTTATTTGATGAATATTGGCATATAACAATGCAAGAAGAGTTAAACCAATTTGAGAGAAGTCAAGTTTGGGACTTAGTACCTAGACCTAATGATTGTCTTATGACAGGGACAAAATGGGTCTTCTAAAATAAATTTGATGAAACTAGTATTGTGGTAAGAAATAAAGCCAAGCTAGTAGCTAAAGGTTATAATGAAAAATAAGGTATTGATTATGATGAAACCTTTGCCCCTGTTACTAAACTTGAGGCTATTAGGTTTTTACTTACTTTTGTTTGCATCAAAGATTTTAAGCTTTATAAAATGGATGTTAAAAGTGCTTTCTTGATATAAAGCATCATTTTTAAGGGATCAAGTGCAAAAGAAGGACATTGTGATCAATGGTGAGGCACACCAATTGATGTTTCACACATGAATCAATGGTGATCCATGCATAATTTGTTACTTGTGTTTATGTGATGCCTTAACAAAGCTTCTGTGCTCTAATTCACACAAGCTACCCTTAGATATGCATGCTTGAATTGTCATCTTGTATTTCCTTACATATTGTGAAGTGCCATTTCACGCTTGAATAAGAAGTTATTCACGAGTGATTTGTCACTGATTCTCTTAAGTACATTTTGTCCAAGTAAGTCTTATGCCAATTCAAGCCTGTTATGTATTATACACTTGCATGATTTGTTACTCTTCATTTTAAGTCTTTTCAATCATGCAATTCTTACTTGAAAGCATATTATTTCCAATTGTGATTTGTCTTTTAGCATAGTTTAGTTTTGTAACAAGCTATTTCACGCGTGAGTCTTAGAGTATTCCACGCGTGATCTATCTTCCTTAATGGTTTAGGTTTTGTAATATGCTAATCCACACATGATAGTGAGTTAGTCCTACACGTGATTCATCACACATAATTGGCTATGGAAATCTCAAGGGTGATCTTGAGGACTGGATGTTGGCCAAGTTTTAGTTTGAACCAGGATAAATCTCTTGTATCAAATCTTCTCATTCCTTACATCTATCCTTCTCACTTCTATTTTCTCCAAAAAAAATTTGAGTCACCTAATTCACCCACCTCTTGGGTGTTAGCTTGTCCAATAGTTGTAATGTTTGTAAAAATTACCCAAGAAGGGGGTGAATTAGGCTAATTAAAATTTAAAGCAATAAATGGTAAAAATAGAGATAAGCAAAAAATGATATCACCAAACACAGTTGAATAAAGGAAAGAGAAGCTTTGCAAAGATTATTTATCCAGATTTAGTTCTATCTACTTGAGCCTACATCCAATCCCTAAGACACCCTTAAGATTCCTCACTATTCACCAAGATTAAGTCAGGCTCTTAGTTGCCTTAATACAACTCAAACTTCTTACTAACTCTAGAACTCCCCCCTTACAAAGGTGATTACAAGACCCTTTAAGCTCCCCGAGCTTAAGTTACTTTATTCTAGGTGTGAAATATAGAGATGAATCGAGTAAATTCAGTAATAAATCACTACTGTAGTAAAACTCTATCATAGAGTGAATATACAATCAATAAAGCTCTTAGAATAATGAATGTATTAGTAGGAGGTTGTTAGACAACTAATGCATATTGTTGGCACAAAAACATCTCTCTATTTCTGCTTCATAAGTGAGTCATATTTATAGTTGATTATAGAAATGAATCCCTTAGACTCAAAATTTAGCCATTAAAGTCTTCATCTTTATGGATATGTAATTTACACTCTTTGAGGCAATATATAGTGCTTTTCAAGAAATCTTGCGTGTTGTTGGCGCCTTAAGAATAATAACGACTATATGCATTAAATTCTCTAACAAAAAGTAGAAATGATTGATGCCGGTAGGATAATTTTGATATAGGTATGAGATAAGATCAAGAAGTGTTAATTCAAACCCAAGATTATGTTTAAAATAGTTCCAAGAAGGCAAAATGATAAACACAACTAAAAATAACTAAAAGGATTAAGGATTGAGTAAGATATGAATTGAACATAGTATAGCCTATTTCAGTACACAAAGAACATGATAAAAAACTTCAAGTTCATACTACAAGAAAGGGATTCATATGCGTATGAGTATGAACGAGAGATAGAAGAAGGTCTGAAACTCATTTAGGTATAAAGCAATTCATATTGTAATGAATATCGTAAAAGATGATGTTTGGATATGATTGATACAGGTAGGAAGTGTTTACATCGAGATGAATGGCAAAGCAGGGGATGAAAGAATAGAGTTCATATTGGTATGAAGAAGTTCATATGGGTATGAGGACTGATACTGATATGAGGTAGATGATACAGGTATGAACAAGTAGAACACATACACAAGTATGAGCAAATATGCATTGGTAAGAAGAAATAAATAGGAGAAGCAAATTGAAATAGATGATACTAGTATGAAGAATTTGAAAGTGCAAAAGATAGCTTTCACATCGGTATGGCCATGAAGGTAAAGATAGGTTTGAGACCCTTGATACTGGTATGAGATAGTTCATATTAGTATGAACAAAAAGGATATAGTATGGAGAATTTTTAGTACACACTAGCTATGAAATAGTCTTGTTCAAGGATAATTGAGATAAGACAAATACTTACCTCAAGACACAAGGTGTTAAAGAATAAGGACAAAGTTAAAAATAGAAAATTTAAACTTATAGAGCAAACTTTCTCAAATCTCCAAGAATAGAAACATCAGCAAAAAAAAAAAAAACTTTTCTATTTTGTAATTATCAAAATTAGGGTTTAACAATGTCTATCATGACATTAATAATATTTACCATAGACTTATAACATACAACAGTAATTAGGAGCCATTAATCCCTCCTAAGCTTACCATAATCATAGAAGGTTAAAAAACAATTAAATATTTGAAATATAATTTTAAAACTTTGGGATCGCAAGAAAAACCCTTCAAATATGTAGTTTGAGCTCAAATTTATTAATATTTAAAATTATGGGAAGTATGGTAGACAAAAGCAGATAAAACATAGCAAAATAGGGTCAAAAAAGTCATTTTAACACATTCTAAAAAATATGCTACGGCATGGGGGTCCATGTGCCATGAGCCGTAGCATACATTTTTCACTTTTGATGCCTAATTAGAGTGATTTAAGTGTCACGCGAAGCTTATTCAACAATCTAGCTAATGGAATAAGTTTTGTTACGATCTATTGTCGTATGTGATATTTGAACACTTTGATGCAAAAGTCAGATTTTATGATAGATATAAGGTATCTAAGTGCTCAAATCTCAAAATTTATACCACTAACTCAATTTAGGACTTGAACTAAGTCCCATGAATCAATATACACATGTATGGTCAAGTAATCACATAATATCACATTAAACATAAGATTTGACCACCTAAGGACCTGATATCACCTAACAGGGCAATTTCATGAAATTCTCCATATTTCATTACTTGGCCAAATCTTCACCACACATCACATCTAATCATCATAACATACACTTGTATTCCTATTTTGGCCTATTTCCACAATTTTTTTTGGCAAACATACATGTTAAGAGAAAATACCACAACATACATTATAAGTATAGTTCAACCAAATATGCATTTACTAATTTAGTGCTTATATTAATATTTTAGCCCTTATACATGTATCTCAAAACATAATTCTTGGGCTAAAATATCAACTACATCACTCATACAAGCATCATGCAAAAACATATGAAGTCCCTAATTGGAAACCATATATTTACATATACGTTCATATACATAAAACCTAAAATAAGGGCATTACAAAATAAGTAAACCAACTACTCCTAGTCGACTCTATCCCTTGTTGGGCTATTGATTCAAATTTCCAATTCTAACATTTCCCAATCCATTAAAAAGGCTTGATGTTATCCATGAATTTTTAATAATAGAACTTAACAAATTAAAAAAATTTTATGGATATTTTTATACCTTATATTTATTTCTTGTTTTTTTAACAATCAACATTAACATTTGTTAATCAAATTTAATTGAATGAAGATTGATATATTCATTAAAACAAGTTTATGAATACCCTTGCACCTTTGTTCATGTAAGAATATTGGGTGTTCTTAGAACCAAAAAAAAAAAAAACAAGTTGTTTGTTATTTTTGTCCTCTAACCCAATAATTAATTATAGGGTCCAAAATCAAGATTTTGAAAAGAGTACCTAAACACCTCCAAAATTTCCTCCCTGAAAAATCATTCAAACATTTTAAGTTTTGTCAAAAAAATCAATTTTAAAAAATTTTATCTACACACCTTTTGTCAATCAATTTTTTCGGTAATTAAATTTTTCATATTCATTTTCGTGATTGTTTCTGACCTTGTATTGTTTACTTCCACCATCATGTTGAGCGAATAAATGAAAGGCTAGCATGGGCAAGCAAGAAGAAACAGTATGAAGATAGATTCTTTTCTTTTTTTTTATCATTTACCTTGAAAATTTTAAGATAATAACAAAGTCTAAAACATGAAAAGAAAACAACAGAAAACGGAAAGAACAAAAGGGAAATAAACTAAACACGCATCACAACAAAGCGTCAATGAAAATATATCAGAAAAATTTGAATTCTGTTTTAGTCCCTCGTGTAATTAATGAAGTTTTTTTTTTTTTAAATTCAAGTCTACTTCTAATACCAAATATATATTTTGGTTCAAATGTAGTTGAAGGTAAAAAAAAAAAAAAAAAGGTTAACTATTAACAGAAACATCCAACACGGCGTCACACTAAAAGTATCGAGCAAGGCTCGAATGTAAACGGCAGAGTATGAATGATCTTTTGGTCGCTTTAGAAGAAGCAAGAAGCAACAATGTAACGTAATGCAGAATTCAACTAAAACAACATAGGCATCATTTCAGAACAAGTTGGACATGAAAGATCTCAAAGATTCAGAAAAAGGAGGTAGGATCAGGTATATACCGGACACCGATATCATCTGAGGGCAATGACACAGAGAGCAAACGACATCTTGAATGCGCAGCCAAAAGAAAATGGAGAGTGAGTTGAAAGAGGGATGAATCCCCCACACACGGCAAGTGTTTCAGGATTTCATTTTGTATGCTTTTCTTCAACTTCACGAATACATCGACCTTTGTCTTTAGCAAAAAGGAGAAAAAAGAAAAAATCGGTGGCCTGGACGCAATAGCCCCGGATCATAGGTGATAAGATGGCCTTGGATTAGATGTGAGCGGAGCTTATCCATATTTTGTCTCTTATGTCATGTATTATCATGTCATGTGAAGGCCATTTGCTGACAAATATATTCCAACAAGGATATTTTTTACAAATATTATTTTGTTTAAAATGTAATGTATTAAGTAATTTTTATAATTATATTTTAATTATATTTTCATTTCATTTAGATTATTTTTAAAAAAATAATATATTTATTATCAATATTTTATATTGTGATTTAAGTGAGTAATTTAAAAAAAAAATTGATCTGAACTTTATGTGCATGACTGATGATGGCAAAAACTGTCACAAGTTAAAAAAAAAAAAAAACTAAGGGCATAAAAGATATCTCCCTCATTTGTAATTAGCATCGTTTTTCGTTGTAGTTCTACAATAATTATACACACAAAATAAATCCAACATATTGAAATCTGTTGGGCCCATAAGGATGGATACATTGGGTGAAAGTCTTCAGTCAATGTTTTAAATTAATTTTTATTCATGTTTGACTGGGGAATGAATGGGAGCGCATGCAGGTGAGAATAATGAAGATTTTGACTAATTTAATTTAATTTTTTTAATTGATTGAATATAAAAATAATAATTAAGATGCAAAATAATCAATTAAAATTTTTAATTTGTAATTTTTTTAAAAAATTAAACTTTTTAAAATATTTCATTCTTTTTCTTTTTTAATATTTCGTGCATCACAAAGAGTAAAATCTAATTTACATTTAAAAAAAAAGAAAGAAAAACTTTTAAAACATCAAAAGTTTAAAACTCACGTAAAAGGGAAAAAAAAAAAAGATGTGATAAGTGAGATGTCTCTCTCTCACTCATGGTAGAGTTGAGAATATCGACTAACCCAAATTATATGAGTTGGCCTATATAGATTAGAAAAAATATGAGTTATGTTGGGTTAATTTATTTTTATATGGGTTAAAAAAATCATAACCCAACCAAATTCTTAAGAGTTGGCTGGTTAAATGGGTTAACCCGCCAATTGATCTTATTTTATTTTAAAAATTTTTTTAAAAATTTAAAAATATACCTAAATGAAAAATGATGATGAGTTTCAATATGATATTCTTTTGTAACATGATTCATTTTAAATATACCAAAATGTTAACCCATAATATGTTTATAAAATATATGAATTGAGCCAACCAAACCATACTCATCTATTTATCAAAAGCCAATATTCCCCCATTATTTTTTTATTTTTAAAAAATAATATGAGTTGAATCAGCCAAACTTATCAAGGTTAGCTCAAATGGTTCATGGGTTATATGGTTTAAGCTAGAAAACTCATATTTTATTTGAGTCAATTTTTTTCTTCAACTCAAACCCAACCCATATGATTAGTTATTCAAGCCAACCTGTATAACCCGACCCATATTCGCGACTCTAAGTCATACGTCTCTTTTTATTAGAGGGAATCTTGTTTAAAGCAATGTTGTAATTTTAAATATATGCACCTCTTTCAATAAGAATTTAAATTTTAATTCTTATATTATGAGGGAGTAGTCTCACTCTGCTAAATACAACTCTCATTGATTCCTTTATTTTTTTTCCTATTCTCTATTTTCTTCTTTTTCCCTTTATCATCTCTAGATTAAAAATCCAACTATTTTGATTTAATATGTGATAAAATTATTATTTAAATTTTACATAAAAGTATAAATAAATTTGAACTATTATTAAAATTTGATATAACTATTTTAAAAATATAATAATATAAAAACTATTATTATTTTTATATTTTATGTAAAACTGTAATAATAATTTATCTGGTACAAAATATGAACCGTTGAAATGTGTTTTGATATAGTGATAATGAAGAGAGAATGAAATAAATAAAAATAAAAAGTAAAGGAAAAGAAGATAGCTTAATTTGAGAAATTGATATTGTGAAACTAAATTCTCAAGAGTATGTCGGGTCTTATTTCTTACCCAACATCATCTTCACTACTCTAGAAAGTAGCAACATTATGATAAATCAATGCATAATTTGAAAGCCTTGCTGAAGAGTTTAACGATCAAAGGGCACAACAATGACATCCCATGAAACTCAACTTCTAAGCGTGTTTGGAACTGTTAATATTTGTCAAAACATGATTTTGATCAAAGTAACGTTGTGGTGTACTCATTGCAACTGTCTCTTCATCGTTGGAAAGTGTAAAACCAAAAATATAAACACATTTTTCATAAACGTTTTAACAAAAATCCATTTAGTTTATAGAAATAAGATCCTAAAATCATAGTCGAGCCTAGGGCACTTGAAGCCATACAAACAATTCCCCAACAAGCCCAATAAGAATAACAACATCCAATTTCATTCAAACCAAATATTCATCCATGAAAATTTCTCAAGTTAGGGCTCCACATCAGATTGATCAGACATGATTTTAGCTTAACCCAAATCTAGTCTCTTATGAAAAGAATTGAATGAAGCAACTTATGATTTAGTCTAATCTAGAAAGAACATAATGTCAAGCTAGACTAAATTTGGTTCATAAGATTGGGGAAACTAGTATAGGTAGTCCAATACCTCAATTTACTTTTTCCCTTATATGAGATGCAACAATTCAACTTATGAAACTCAACTGAGGAAATAAAAATATTTATAATCATATAAAACTTATCACAAACCTAATCATAATAAATCTATAATAATCTCCAACAACATTCAACAACAAAAAATATGCAAGTTACAATCCATAATTTATAATTCATAACAACCTTTAACAAATTTAACAAGTCTACTAAATTAATCCATTAAGAGAAAATTAGCTCAAATACATAATTAACTTATTATTCTGTAAGTTTTTTATGTCATTAAATAATGAAAATTTTTATAATTTTTTTCCCAAACTCATGCTTCACTTTTTTTTTTTCTCAAGTGAAAGTGTTGGCATAGAATCAACAGCCAAATCCTCCTCAGCCATGACCATGGCCCTATGACCTTTCTATTTTGTGCTTTAATAATGAGTGTTGTCGATTAAAAATTAAAGGAAAAAGAAAAAAAATTCATGCCATATATGGCAAGAAATTATAATAAAGGTATGGCCCAATTTGCGGCTGGCAAAAATGGGGAAAACATGAATGATCGTAGAGATCAAAGTGGTGATATTGGAGCCCGGACAGCCATTTTCCTTAGGAATAATGAAGCATTTACTTTTAAGATATTTCCATCAAGTCATACAAGATACATTACCAAGTGGAATCAAATAAAATGCCGATTCACATCCATCAATCATAAAAAAAAAAAAAAAACAAACAAACACTGCTCGGCATTCCATTGGGTGAAAGTCTCTACTCAATGTTTTAAATTATTTTTTATTCATGTTTGATTGAAGGGAGATGACTGGGAGGGTATGTGGGGATAAGGGATATTTTGATAAATTTAATTTAAATTTTTTAATTATTGAATATAAAAATAGAAACAAGATACAAAATAATCAATTAAAATGTTTAACTTACTTTTGATTTTTTAAAAAAATTAAATTTCTTAAAATATTTCATTCTTTTTCTTTTGTATTACAAGGGATAAAATTTAGTTTACATTGGAAATAAGAAAGTAACCTTTTTTATGCAAAAAGAATAATGAATTAAAACCTACAATCAGCCTCTAAACTATTAGAAATAAAATTAGCAGCGTTGTAAAGAACACCACATCTATCATCCGATTGAGAGCTTCCTTTGCCAGTAGATCAACGACTATATTGGCTTCACGTTGCACCACAACAGTGCCACGTTCCAGTCTCTTATTATCATCCTTTGAATATCTGCTATAATGTCACGTTTGGGATGATTAGGTCGCTCCTCCTTGTTCAATACAGTAATTAGTTCTAAACAATCAGTCTCGAGCTCAATGTTCTTCCAGTCCATGTCCCAAGCTCACTTAACCTCGTATAGGATCCCTTATAACTTAGCATTTAAGCTACTACCATTCCTTATATGATATATGAATCCTTTTAGGGCCTTCCCTATGTGGTCTCTAGCAATACTACCACATTTAATGGTCTTTCCTATTGGCTGCACTAGCACTATCAATGTTGAATTTCACAGTTCCCTCCCTTGGTGGTACCCATCTAATTCTATCACTCAGATTCTTTACTAATCAACCTAGGCTTGGACTAAAAACTAAGGCCTGCACTTGAGCTAAAACCGTTGACACCATGCACTCCTTCTGCTGAAAAAGTCTAAGATTCCTGCTTATCCATAATTGACAATAGAGAATTGCATAGCATACATCCCATCGGAATCCTCTTAAAATCAATCGTTGAGATAGATTCCATTCAATCCAATCATTGGTGTTATTCAATGCATTAAAAGCTATTCTGAGTTCACCTGGAAGTAGTCTCTCCCAGCATTCAGATGCAAGCTTACAATCTTTGAGAACATGAATGATGTCTTCCGTACATTGAGGACACACAAAACATTTATCATCCACAAATAAGCCTTTCCTAGAGCAAAGAGATTTAGTCATCAATCTACCTCTAGCACATAACCAAAGGAAAGTTTTGTTGCATTATAGAACTATAGCTTTCCACACCTTCCTCCATACACGTTTGAGAACACTATCGTTATCCGGGTATATGCTCTTATAAGCAGATCTGGTTGTGAACTCACCATCATTAGACCACTTCCATCTTGGGCTATCATCACTCTGATTGCTTCTAATATGGTAGATATCTTTGAGCACATGTCTAGGTATGTATTCCTCGAACATATTACTCGCCCATCCACTAGTCAGCAAGATATACTTGTCAACCATGTTTTCACACATTTCATCAGGCACCGGTTTCAAAGTATACTCCAGCAGAGATTCATAATGAGGTATCCAACACTCCTTCCAAGATTTGACTTTATTTCTTGTACCAATATGCCACGCTAATCCCTTCAAAGTATTTGGCCATGCATCTCGAATCCCTTTCCAAGTACTTGAACCCTTCTCCGAGCTTCTATCTTTGGCATAACATCCTTAC